CTGGGGGGCAGATGAAGAGTGGGTTGAGAACCTATGGGTAAAGATTAAGGGGCAGGCTAATACAAGGGACACGCTTGTGGGTGTTTATTACAGGCCACTGGCTCAGGATGGGGACATTGATGAGGCCTTCTACAGCTGAGAGTCGCCTCACAATCACAGGCCTTGGTCCTCATGGGGGACTTAAATCTCCCTGTTATCTGCTGGGAAGACCACACAGCCAGGCAGGTACAGTTCAGGAGGTTCCTCCAGTGCATTGATGATAAATTTTGACTCGGGTGGTAGAGGAACCAACAAGGAAAGGTGTACCACTAGATCTAGTATTGACAAACAAAGAGGGACTGGTAGAAGACATTAAGGTTGGCGGCAACCTTGGTTGTAGTGATGGTAGAGTTCAGAATCATGTGCAGCAGGTACCAAGCATCTAGGAGGGTCAAAACCCTGGATTTCAGAAGAGCTAACTTTGGCCTTTTCAAGGAACTGCTTGGAGAAATCCAATGGGATAGGGTCCTGGAAGGAAAGGGGGCCCAAGAGAGTTGGTCAATATTCAAGCACCACCTCATTCAAGCTCAAGATCAAAGTGTCCCAAAGAGTAAGAAATCAAATAAGAGAGCCAGGAGACCTGCATGGTTGAGCAGGGAACTTCTGAACAAACTTAAGTGGAAGAAAGAAGTTTATAGATCATGGAAGAAGGGGTTGACTATTTGGGATGAATACAAGAATGTGGTCAGAGGGTGTAGGGCTGCAACAAGGAAAGCTAAGGCCTCCTTAGAATTAAAACTGACAAGTGAAGTCAAGGACAATGAGAAAGGCTTCTTCAATTAGGGAAACTGTGTGGCCAGCAGGTCAAGGGAGGTTCTCCTCCCCCTCTACTCTACCCTAGTAAGACCATATCTGCAGTACTGCACTTAATGCCTTCTTTGCCTCGGTCTTTACTGCTAAGGCTGACTCTCAGGATTCCCAAACATTCCAGACCACAGAAGAAATCAGCAGTGATGAAGACTTTACCTTGATTGAAGAAGATTGGGTTAAACATCAGTTAAGGAAACTGGAAATCTACAAATCCATGGGCCCTGATGGGATGCAGCCATGTGCGCTGAGAGAGCTGGAAGAAGTCATTGCTAGACTGCGCTCCATCATCTTGAAAAGTCCTGGAAAATGGGAGAAGCTCAAGAATGGGCCAGTCTCTGTTCAGTGGTGCCCGTGACAGGAAGAGGGGAAACGGCACCAAGTGACAACACAGGAAGTTCCACCTCAACATGAGGAGAAACATCTTTCCTGTGAGGGTGACAGAGCCCTGGGACAGGCTGCCCAGAGAGGTTGTGGAGTCTCCTTCTCTGGAGACTTTCCAGACCCATCTGGACACGTTCCTGTGTGACCTGCCCTGGGTGTTCCTGCTGCAGCAAGGGAGTTGGACTTGATGGTCTTCAGGGGTCCCTTCCAACCCCTATGATTCTATGATTAACTGCTCCAGTGTGGGTCCCTTCCACGGGGTGCAGTCCTTCAGGAACAGACTGCTCCAGCGTGGGGTCCTCCAGAGGCTGCAAGTAGATATCTGCTTCACCATGGACCTCCATAGTCTGCAGGGGGACAGCCTGCCTCACCATGGTCTTCTCCACAGGCTGCAGGGGAATCTCTACCCCAGCACCTGGAGCACCTCCTCCCCTTCTCTGACCTTGGTGTCTGCAGGGTTGTTTCTCTCACATATTCTCAACTCCTCTATCTGCTGTTTCACAGCAGTTTTTTTTCCCTTTTCAAAAACTGTCAGCTCAGCTTTGGACAGCAGCGGGTCCATTTTGGAGCTGGCTGACACTGGCTCTACTGGACATGGGGAAAACCTCTGGTATCTTGTCACAGAAGCCACTCCTGTAGCTACTCTGC